GTAAACAAAAAAAACAATTCATTTCATAAAAAAATATTTACATGTCTCTTATGCAATCAAAATCATTTTCTTTTTAACTGTGAAACATTCAGAGCCCTTCCCATTGAAATGCGTATACAAAAGGCCAACGAGTCTAAGGTCTGTCTAAATTGTTTACGTCCAGGGCATTTAGAAAATAATTGCAACCTTGTACCCTGTAAATATTGCAAAAAAGGCATAATACTCTGTTGCATTTGCATGAGTCACGGCCTATCCCTGAGCCTGCCATTGCCACAACTAGCAACTTTGCCACTTCAAACGAGTCGAAACAGTTTACTACTCCTCCGCATGTTTTGCTTTCCACAGCGCTCGTGAAGGTGGTAGACGGCAAGGGCACCATGCACTCTGCTCGAATGCTGCTCGACAACGGCAGCACGGCTAATTTCATTACGCAATCGCTCTGCGGTAAGCTGGGTTTGTCACGGCGTAGTGCGTGCTCCACGGTGACAGGTATCAATAATAATACTTCTCATATTACACAGTCTTGTAGCCTTACTATCAAATCCCTCCATAACGATTATAGTCTTGCTGTTGACTGCCTTATTTTACCACATATCACCAAAGCTTTACCTTCTTCATACACAGACATAGAAAATATTCCTCTTCCTATGGGAATAAGTCTAGCGGACCCTTCCTTCAATATGCCGTCAGTCATAGACATCTTAGTCGGTGCACAAGTATTTTGGTCTGTCTTATGCAATAACTCTATTGACTTAGGTAAAAATCAACCTAAGTTATATGAGACAAAACTGGGTTGGCTAATATCTGGGCACGTCGCCCGTCTTAAGTCACCGTCTTCGTCCCCCATTTGCCATTTTGCAAATGAGGAACCCTATCCAGACTTATCACGTTTCTGGGAACTAGACACTGTCGCAGCTAAGCACTCCTTATCTCCAGAAGAGCGTGCCTGTGAGCAGAGCTTCTTATTGAACACCACGCGCAATGACGACGGCGCCTTTATAGTCACTATGCCGCTGAAGGAGAATCCTTCAGTCTTAGGCGATTCATTTCAAATGGCAAGGAACCGTTTTCTATCATTGGAGCGTAAGTTTCATAGAGAGCCTGTCTTTAAATATAGGTACATGGAGTTCATGCACGAATATGAAAGCCGAGGTCACATGACCGAAAATAAGGAGCTTTCTTCTAGCTGTCTTCAACAAATAAATTATTTTTTACCTCACCATGGTGTCATCCGTGAGTCGAGCCTTACGACAAAACTTCGTACAGTCTTTGATGCTTCTGCAACTTCTAGCTCTGGTTTGTCACTTAATGATATTCAGATGATCGGTCCAACTGTACAAGAAGACCTTTACTCTATATTATTACGTTTTCGTCAACACAAATACGTCGTAACCGGTGACGTAGAAAAAATGTATAGAGCGATTGAGCTCAATCCCGCTCAACGCTCTCTTCAACAAATTGTGTTTAGGTATGATTCATCACAGCCTTTAAAAACCTATACGCTTAATACAGTGACGTATGGCACAGCATCTGCGCCTTATTTAGCCACTAAGTGTCTGGTCAGTTTGGCCTCCAGTGCTGTCGATAGTGACGTGAAACAGTCAATTCAACGTGACTTTTACGTTGATGATTATTTAGGCGGTTCGTCAACTGTTGAAAACACTGTGAAGCTTTGCAAAGGAGTCATAACCACTTTAAAAACCGCCAAATTCAATTTAAGAAAATTTCAGTCAAATAGTCAATAAATTCTCCATCAAATTACGCCTTTATTCTGTCAATCAGACAACGTCTTAGATATCTCAAACAGTGACATTCATGCCTCATCAAAAACTTTAGGTTTAAACTGGATCTGCGATTCAGACATCCTATTGTATTCTATAAATATTGAACTTCGTGAAAAGGTAACTAAGCGACACATACTTTCAGTCATCAGTCAAATTTTCGACCCACTGGGCCTCGTGGGACCGTGTGTTGTCGAAGCCAAAATGATAATGCAGAGATTGTGGATCGAACAATGTTCATGGGATGAAGAGGTCTCATAAGAGATACAACAACTATGGCTGTCATTTGCCAACACGTTACCCCTTCTTAACCGATTACAGGTTCCTCGCTGGGTTTTTACAAATGACCCTGTTTTCAGTGAAATTCATGTATTTTCAGACGCATCAGAGCGAGCGTATGGGGCTTGCCTCTACATTCGCTCCGTAGATACCTTAGGTTCAGTCAAGGTGCACCTCTTGACCTCGAAGAGTAGAGTAGCGCCAATAAAGCCAACAACAATACCTCGTCTCGAACTACTCGGGGCTCTTCTGGCTGCAAGGCTGTGTACCAAAGTATTATCATCTTTATCTTTACCCATCACCATTTGCAGATTCTGGTGTGACTCAATGATTGTATTAGGGTGGTTATCTACGTCACCTACTAATCTTAAAAGTTTTGTTCGCAACCGTGTGCATGAAATACAAGAGAGCACGGAGAGTTATACGTGGAGTTACGTACCGTCGAAGGACAATCCGGCGGATCTTGTTTCTCGAGGGCTGAAGGCTGACCTCATCGGCGATTCATCGTTATGGTGGTCGGGGCCGCCTTATTTATCAAAAAATGAAGCTTTTTGGCCAAAAATGCCCAACGTTAGCGTGAAACAGGATCTACCCGAGTTGATTACTTGTTCTTTTGCGCTTGATAATAATGCTGATAACACTGACTTAATAACTAACTTAATCAAAAATAAATCTAAATTAACAAACTTACAAAACACGATAGCATATTTACAAAGATTTATTTACAATTGCCGGCATCCAACAAATAAATTAACTAGACATCTTTCAGTTCATGAACTTCAAAACTCATTGAAATTAATCATACGTAAATCTCAGTCGGAAATGTTCCCTGATGAAGATGCTATTTTTAGAGCCGGGAAGGCTCTGCCTAACAAAAACCGATTGATTGCTTTAAGTCCATTTATAGATTCTGATTACATAATTAGGGTTGGTGGGAGACTAGACAATTCTCCTTACAGTTACGAAACAAAGCACCCAATTTTGTTATGCAGCAAACATCACTTTACGCAAATGCTTTTTCAACAATATCATATTAAATATTTACATGCACCCCCAATCCAACTTATGTTAGGAAATATAAGACAAGTGAGTGTTCGATCTTTGTATTAATAATTGTAACAAACTAGTGGAGTAATTTCACAAAAAAAATAATTGAATATCAACTCAATAAAAATTTAATTAATATAAGACAAACTTATTGGCCCTTAGGTGGCAAAAACCTTTCAAAAAGTATTTTCAATAAATGTGTGCGATGTTTCAGACACAAGGCTGAAACTGTTCAACCTATCATGGGTCAGCTGCCAGTTTCTAGAACGGAGCTAGAGTTCCCATTTTTACATTGTAGCGTTGACTACGCCGGGCCAGTATTGATAGCGGACCGAAAGGGTAGAGGTTGCAAACTAATAAAGTCTTTTTTGGCAATCTTTATTTGCAATTCGGTTAAAGCCTGTCATATCGAACTCGTTACGGCTCTATCTAGTGAAGCGTACATAGCCGCCTTAAATCGTTTTGTTTCACGTCGCGGCAAGCCTGAAAGCATCACGTCTGACAACGGTACCAATTTCGTTGGTACTTGTAACGAGCTAGCTCAATTCCTCGTACAGTCGGACCTAGAAGGTCGCTTTGCTCAAGAAGGCATCGAATTTAAATTCGTGCCAGCTTATACACCCCATTTCAATGGCTTAGCTGAAGCAGCCGTACGTTCTACAAAACATCACCTTAGACGCTTGTTACAATTAACTCATTTGACCTATGAGGAGATGGCTACATGCCTCACTCAAATAGAGGCAGTACTAAATTCTCGTCCTCTCACCCCTCTTTCCACTGATCCCTTAGATTTTTCCGCTCTCACTCCTGCTCACTTTTTAATTGGACGCTCACTTATGTCCGTTCCTCAGCCGCAGGTTCCTGATACGAACATCAACCGCATCGAGAGATTCAGACGAATTGAGCTGCTGAAACAACACTTTTGGAAGCGCTTTTCCTTGGAGTATGTTACACTGCTTCAAGAAAAGACGAAATGGCGAACTTCAACTGAGGAGCTGAAACTTGACTCTCTTGTTCTCGTCAAAGAAAAGGCGCTGCCACCACTACTGTGGTCTCTAGGACGAGTCACTCAGCTCTACCCTGGCAGCGATGGAGTCACTAGAGTCGCGGAGTTAAAAACTAAGAGAGGCACCATACGAAGAGCCTTTAATAATATTTGCCCTCTTCCAGTTCTTTGAAGTCTTCACACTTCAACCCGGGGAGCATGTTGCGAACCGGTCTTATACCCGCTCGGCACGAGACGCGGGGGAGGACGACACGGCAAGCGTGACGTCACGGCGAGCGGCAGCGGCGCAGGGGCACTCGCCTTATCGACAGCCACCGGCGACGGTCGACCCCTATTATTTATTTATTATAAACGAGGACACTTGTGATTGAGACGGCAAATATACCAGTCCTATTGTAATACAGTCCACTTTTATTCCACGTCCTTTAGGACCCTAACACAAACAGATCCGAGAAAGAAGCACCATCTAGTTCATTTATTTGTTATCACTAGAACTTAGAGAAATTTATCAAAGCTACCCAGCTTTGATAAATTGCAGCTTATCAATATGAACAAATTAGTTACAAAACTAGCTATATGGTACTCGTCGCGACCTTTGGTGTACTAAATTCCCAACTACGCTGTCTTGTATCGCCATTAGCGGTCTTCGTGAGTTACCGATCCATGTAGATAGCAAAGTGCAATCAACAACATATGTTTGAAAATAGTTCATTTATTCTAAATTCAGCTAGAAAGCTGCGAAAACACATTAGTTAATGCATTTATGTAATCTTATCCCGCCATAAGCGTAAGTTCCTAACTACGCAGAGCTCAGAGCTAATGAGATGGTAATATTATTCTATTTCTGAGACCGTATTCAGTATCTATCATTAGCAGAAATTGGAATAGGCTGAGTAATATTTACCAAACTTTTAAGTAATACAGAGTATTATAATATAACCCTTGAAAAATCCATTTCATTAAAAATAATACACAGGTGAATAACAGTTTCTCAGATATTGTTTGAAATTTTTCTTTTCTAAAAAAATGTTAATATACGTAAACTACTTTAAGAGCCAGAAAACACAAAAATGAAAATAAAGACATAATGAAGTAGCCATAACTTGCAATATTGAATAGCAAAAATTTCGGGAGTTTTTGCATTTCATAGAATAAATAGAAGGAGCTCGTCTGTGTATTTTAACTGTACTTAGTGATGTTTTGCCTTTAATGACATCTTGCACTA